ATAATCATATTCAACCAAATTTATGTTTGTTAGTATTTTTTGATTGTTAATATTGATAATTATCTAATATGAATATCTTTATTTTAAAATGTTTTTTATTTTAATTTAAAAATTAACAAAAAGATAATACAGTTAGACCTCATTATAGTCACCTTGATATAGTTACATCCTTGTTATAATCATACTATTTTCTTGTTTTAACTATTATAAAACATATATTTTGACCTTTATGTAGTTACAACTTTTTATAATCACCAAAATTTTGTTTCTCAACCTGGTGATTATATCGAGGTCTGACTGTATTTGAGTTTAAAGATAAATTAATTTAAGATCTAACAAATTATATAAAATCAATCTAGATACATCTTTGTTATCGAATAAAGGACTAACTATTTCATAATGATATTGCCTATCTTTACAGAATTCTTTTGAATATTGTGCAAATTCAAAAGCTTCTATGATATCTATTGGTCTTCTTAAATGGCCACAAGAAATATAATTATCCCTTTTATCAAAGTCATCATATCTTTTACAAACTCTACAATACAGTTGAACTGATTCATAATTATATTCTCTACATTTTTTTTCTAACAATTGTTTAAATATTAATTTAGCTTGTTTAGAATAAGTCTGATTTTCAATAACATTATTAATAAGTCTTTTTATTCCTCTTTTATCTGATTCCAATAATTTGTCATCAACATCATCAAGCAGCAATTTTATTTTTCTTTTAAATAATATTAGAACATCCTCATCTAATTCTTTATCATTTTTGTTAAGATGAGGATGATTTAAATTTGTAGTACCATTTAGTTTTTTTTTGAAAAATTCAGTCTACAGAAATTAATTTAAGATCTTTAGCAAGCTTCTTTTTTTAAGAGTGAGGCCTGGCCTTGGTCTTTATTGAATAATTATGCATTTTAGCAAGCAATTAAAATTTACGGAATAACTAAGAACCCAAATGATGATAATTATATGGTGATGGAATTCACAAAGTGCAATTGGAAATAAAGAAGACGCAATATTAGCAAAAGCATTTAGAAATAATGTTGGGATAGTAAATATTGAAATAGAATCAAAGATACATAAAACTCCTTTAATTAAAACTTTAGGATCTTTATGTGAAAATACTATTTTAAAAACTCTGAATATAAATTATATCCAGCTAGATTTGAATTCAATTAAAATATTATCGAAAGTACTTTGTTCGAACAACACACTCGAAGACTTATGTATTGATTTAACTTATAGATTGGTGCCGAAAGTATTATGTCATGTCGAATTTGTATTTTTACAAATTATTACATATTTTTATTAATGATTTTATTATAATACGACGAATTATTACAATTTTGACATAAGTACTTTTGGCACCAATCTTTAATTTAACTTATTTTAAATCAGAAACCTCATAATCTGGACTAAGGATAGGAATCATAAAGTCATTAGTCGACTAATTGACTATTAGTCGATTAATCGACTAAATTTTTTTATAATCAGTCGATCGATTAGTCGACTAGTCGACTAATCAACTAATCGACTAATCGACTAATCGACTAGTCGATTAATCGACTAATCGACTAATCGACTAATCGACTAGTTTACTAATTGACTATATAGTTAATTAATCAAATGTTAATATGCAAATTTAATTAATTTAATTGGTTAACTATTGTTCATATAACATCAACTAATCAATTAGTTGACTAGTTTATTATACGACTAGTCAACTAATCAATTAGTCGATTAGTCGACTAGTCGATTAGTTGATTAGTCGACTAATCGATTAGTCGATTAGTCGAATAGTTGATTAGTCGACTTTTAGTCAGTCAACGACTAACGGTTTTAGTCGACTGACTAATCAACTAAAAATTTCTGACCGATTCCAATCCTTAATCTGGACAATCTATCTTCATTACTATGTAAAAATAAGTACATCAACGAATTCTTCCCCGGTAAGTAAAATCCGTATTGACAAGATTATTTAGTAGCCAAATCCCGTGACTTAAAATAAAGAGACTCGTAAAGTAGTCTAGGGCTCTAATTGACTATAGTTAATCAGACCAAGCCTTTCCATACCTCGAAGTCTACAATTATTAGGAATAGTTAGAGTAGTTAATTTAGTATTTAGTGTTGTGTTGTAGCATATTTTTGTATTACGGAGAATATATTACAATCACACTAAAAAATGATCTACAACATGCGCTAGAAGAGAACCAATAAGTAGCACTAACTAATCTTACGTCACTGCAATTTTGGGGG